ATTTCTTTCTAATTTTAGTAGAGACGGGGTCTTGCTCTTGCTCAGGCTGGTTTCGAACTCCTGAGCTCAAACAATCCGTCCACCTCGGCCTCCCAGAGAGCTAGGATTACAGGCGTGAGCCACCGAGCCCGGCCTAACTAATGGATTTTAACCAGCAAATACTAAGATTTTCCTGTACTTTTCTTTAACCAGATGGGCTTATTCCATCAATGATCATAAAAATAAATATTGGCTAGCATTTATTGAATACTTTATATTTGTTAACTCTTAAAAATACAATGAAAGATGTATCATTACTTATTATGTATTATTTTACAGACAAGGAAGCAGGCATAGTAACTTGCCCAAGGTTACAGTGTTATTAGGAACAGAGTTAGGATTCAAAATGAAGCAACAGGGCCAGCTTCACAGGAACTGGACCTGTGCAGTTGGACAGGACCTTGTACTTAGTTTAATACTCTGCTGCCACTGCTTTGAAATTCTTAATAATTTTTTAACAAAGAGCCCTACACTTTAATCTGGATTACCACAAATTATGTAGCCAGTCCTGCTAGGCAGTATGACTTCAGACTCTGCTCTTAACTGAAGATGCACTGAAGATAACACTAGTGTAGATAAATTCCCTACTTATTGGGGTACAAGGGTTAAAAATTTAGTCAAGAGCAGCACTTGGAGCCTACATTTGGAAAACAGGAATTTCATACTAGCCAAAATGCATTGAGCATTCTGGATAGAAATAAGACTATTAACCAACCAGGCAATCAGAAATTAATATCAAAATGTTTGTATGAACTATTTTGCAAAACAGAGCCACGCTAAGACTCACTTTATCTCATTCTGTCCTCAAATAGTAAAATTCTGCTAGTGCCAAACTAACATGCCAGGCAAGGTAAAAGCAAGACAGTAGTGGATACAAAATTCCACAGATTTTCAGTAAAGAACCAAATAAGTAAATTTATTTGGTTTACAAAAGAAATTATATTTTAGCATCTTAAGGTGCCTCAGATATTACAAAACTAGGAAATTTCCACAAATAAAATTGCACAGTTTTAAGCTCAGTCTCATCCTTATCATTGGGGTCTTAGTTTTAGTTTTTAGATTAATTTTAAAAGTTTTTAGATTAACTTTAAAAAATAAACCCTAACCCTCCTTAATATTCCTCAAGAAACTTTTCTGTTCAACTGCTAAATTAACATGCATTTAGAAGGTTCATATATGCCTAACCCTAGCCCAATAAATGCCTAGTCAATGAATAACAGATTTTATAAGACCCATCTGGAGGTCACATTTCAGAAAATCTAGATGAAAAAAAAAAAAATTCCCAAATTGCCATTAAATGTTATCACAAGAACCATACCCCAAACTCATTTTAACTAGTTATCACATCAGATTTTCAGTCAACTGGGTATTTTTTAGACACAATTTCAACAATATGGTCTCCCAGCCTTTTTATCAAATTTGAATACAAATGGGGAGAAGCTGTTGCTAGAAGCAAACAATTGAGAGCAAGTAATAGACACTGGAGATAAAGATTTAAAAGTCGTCAAATTTAAAAAAACATAATCTAAGGCCAAATCTAAACTGCCTTACATGTCTCAAGAGCTTCTGAGGCATCATACTTCAGTACATGGTGACTGGGGGAGGGGGGACTCCTGCTATTTGAAACATTAGGGTTCCTACATTTTGAAGGTAAAGAATTTATTTCCTTCATCAATGGTTTTAACAGGCCTGGCCATATTTATTAAGTTATGCGATTCCACGAGTTTTCAAAAGTATTTTCTGGTAGTTTACCTGATCTTTACAATCTGAACATTATTCCCAGTGTGGCAATGAGGAAGCTGGAGCACATGGAACTTCCAAGACGTGCCCCAAGGTAACACAGCAAAGGCGTGAAGTGGGAGTAGAATCCTCTTACCCTGTTTTCCCATCTTGAGCCCTAGATTACTACACTCAGTAGGTGCCAATCTTGACATCATCGTACCAGACAGGTAGCTCTGAATCCCCTATTCAGCGAATCCTGCCTAAATAAATCTAAATGTCTTGAGATTCATTCCACGATTCGTTCATGAGTGATTATCCTAACAAAACGAATCCCATAATCGCCCGTTCAATTTTGTATGAAATTTTTTAGAGTTTGGCTTACATAAACAGCTCTTAAAACAGAAATCAGAGTACAGTACTCGGTGTTTCTAGGGGTAGAAGCCCAGGGAAAAAAGACAAAGGATGTCCCTCTCTACCCTGGGGAAAGCCCCGACCTAGTCGGTGTAGGTGCTCTTCGGAGCAGCAGCGTGTCCTCAGCGGCTCCCGACCACCGTGGGATGCGCCCTGGAAAGGCAGGCCTGAGGCGTTCGTGCCCCTTAACAAGGGATGGCTGCAGAGACCGCGAGCAGCGGTCTCGATCTCCCACGCCGAAGCCTGGTGAGCGAAGTTAGTTTCTATCCCAACCCCTGCTCCTGCCTTGCCAGGCCAAGACCCTCGCACGGCCGGACGGCCGGCCGTCATCCTTAACCTCTGCTCCAGGCGCTAGTCCGTTCAACTTGCTCGGAACCGCGCTCTACACCCCCACGTGCAGCCGGCTGGAGAAGGTAAATGCCCGGCTCCTCCAACAGCACTGCCGGGGGCCTAGCCCGCCTCGCTCGCGGCAGCAGAAACACCTGTTTGATAAACCTGAAGGCAGGCCCACCGCGGACTCCAGGACACCCGGCCCCTCCTCACCCGTGGAGGCCCCGCAGTCGGCGCTCTTCTCCAGGCGCGTCGGACTCTCCCCCACCGGTGTGCACGGCACCGGATCCGGATCCGGCTCCGGCTTCAGCGCCGGCCCCACCTCCTCCTCCACCTTCCGCGCCACAGTGGGGAACCGCGGCCCAGACGTGGCAGCTCCGACGCCTTCCAACCCGCCCCTGCCCGCTCACGCAGGGCGCCGCCGGCGGCCGGGGGCGGAGGCCGAGGCCGAGGCCGAGGCCGAGGCGCACCCGCCCGCGCCCTAGAGCGAGGGGCGGGGCCGGGGCGGGGCCTGAGGCGGTGCCAGCGCGCAGCGCGGGGCTCGGGACCACCCCCTCCCTCGTCCTGCGCTCGCCCTGCCCTCGTCCTGCGCTCGCCCTGCCCCCGCCCCGCGCCTGCCCTGTTCGGGTCCTGCCCTCGACCTGCAGTGGTCCTTCGCTTCCTGCTCGCTCCCGGCGGCCTTTCTTACGGTGTTGCTGTCTCAGTTTGTCTGGCGTTGAAGCTGCCTAGGAGTTGGCCGAGCAGCGTAAGTGGTGACCAGAGTGGGCCTCTGATTCTCAGAAACCGAAGGCTCGGCCGCTTGACCTCTTCATTTGTCCCTTGTTGCCCTTTCCCTCACGATTCTATCCATTAATTAGAACTTCTGCTACTCACGCAGCTCACAGCTCCTCATCCCCAGGTCTCTGAGTGACAGTTCTTGCCTTCAGGAAACTATGAGTTGGGGCCACTGCATTCAACTCCTTCGGGACTATTGTTTTATTTACCCCTTCCTCCCCTCGAATCTTTTTTGGGTGAATATGGGGTTTGGACAGTGGTTCTCAGCGGCAGCGATTTTGCCTCCCAAGAGACACTGGCAATTTTGGGGGAATTTTCTACCTCACGTCTGGGGGAGAGGTGCTGCTGGAGTCTCCAGATGGTAGAGGGTACAGGTGGGTGGAGGCTGGGAATGCTGCTAAATGTCTTACAGTGTGCAGGACAGCGCCCCAAACAGGTAATTGGCCTGAAACGTCAGTACTGCCGACGTTGAGAAACCCTGGGTTAGGAGAAGAAAAGTGACTTTTCTCTCAGTCCCATTTCCAAAGGGTCTTACCTAAGTAGCACTTGTACCCATTTTACGGATTAGGAAACAGAGGTTCAGAGTTGTTAAGTAATTTACAGAAGTCTACTAGCTCCCCTTCCTTGCCTTGTACCATAATATTCAATTCATTGAAATGGCAAAGCATTTTATTCTTAAACAATAGTGTTCACAGAATTAACACCATAGATCATCTACAAGAAATTATATTTTCTGTTCATTCGTGAGATTTAAATTTCAGTTATCTCCTTTACTGATTTATGTTTTCTCACAACTTCAAACATCAATGAGCTGATGGCATCCGCATCTCTGTATATATCCCTGTTTTTACCCCCATACACACAAAAGAATATATAAGGCATAAGCTGGGCTGAGTGGCACACACCTGAGTCCCGGCTACTGAGGAGGCTGAAGAGGGAGAATGGCTTGAGCACAAGAGTTCAAATCTAGCCTGTGCAACATAGCGAGACTCCCATCTCTTAAATAAAAAATATGCATATATACAAGGCATAAATAAAAATAAACACTCATGTACACATGACTAATCCTAAACATGCAGCCTTTTTTTTTTCTTACCAGACTTCTGGGTCAAATGTTTTCAATGAGATTCTCCTGTGCAACAGAATCCTGTACATTTTATAAATCAGCAAAGAATGAAACAAAATTGCTGTAGTTTGGAAATTTGCCCCTGCAAACCTCATGTTGAAATTTGATCCCCAATGTTAGAGGTGGGGGTGTAATGGGAGGTGTTAGGATCATGGGAGTGGATCCCTCATGAATGGCTTGGTGCTCTCCTCAAAGTAATGAGTGAGTTCTCACTCTATTAGTTCTCATGATATCTGGTTGTTAAAAAGAGCATGGCATCTTGCCCCTCCCTCTCTTGCATCCTCTCTCACCTTGTGATCTGCACATGCCAACTCCCCTTCGCTTTCCACCATGAGTGGAAACTTCCTGAAACCCTCATCGGAAGCAGCTGTTGGCACCATGCTTCTTGTACAGCCTGCAGAACCGTGAGCCAAATAAACCTCTTTATCAATTACCCAGCTTTGGATATCCCTTTATAACAACACAAATGGAATAAAACAATAATCAGTTATAAAATTGCAGAACACAGGAGTTCTAAGAGGTACCCCAAGAGATCTCTTGCATTACAGATATATTCCTCCTTATCCTCCTTGGGCCATAGGACCCCAGTTTCTCCTTAACGGACATTTCAATCACTTTGACCAGTACGATTAACCCCTTTTTTACCTGTTGGTATACTTGGCAATGAGGAACTAAAAATAACCAGAAGACAGTCTCAATTTATGGTTTAATTGGTATGTTTTCTGATCATTATTTATTTGAGGGGGTTCTAATAAGAAATGCTACATCAACAATATTCTTGATGGCTCAGATAATTATGTGGAAAAATATGAATATCAATGATTGAGTTGAGAAATGATTCAACAATGTTGGACTGAATGAGAAGAATAGCTTTAACCAATTAATTTCATATTCTCCTCAATGTTTGTACAAATATTAAATATTAGAATTAAATTAAACAAATATAACAATCCGGCTAGGTGCAGTGGCTCACACCTGTAATCCTAGCACTCCAGGAGGCCAAGACGGGAGGATTGCTTGAGCTCAGGAGTTGAAGACCAGCCTGAGCAAACAAGACCCCATCCCTACTAAAAAAATAGAAAAATTAACCGGGTAAGGTGACACACAGCTGTCGTCGCGACTACTCGGAAGGCTGAGGCAGGAGGATCGCTTTAGCCCAGGAGTTTGAGGTTGCAGTGAGCTATGATGATGCCACTGAGACTCTGTCTCTAAATAAATAAATAAAACAATCCATGTCTAATTAAGTATAAGAGCTCTTTTGCTGGGTATTAAAAGTTCTAAGTGATAAGAAAGCATGTATTATGGTTTTAAATTGGCCACATTGTTTCTTTCTTAGTGGTCTATAAACTAATGGTATGTCATACTATGGATGTGTCTAAGATTTGATGAAATATGGTATGTACCTTAAAGTAATAATTCTCTGCTATAGTTAGAATACTCCCACCAAAACTAATGTTGAGATTTAATTGCCAACAGTAACAGTATTAGGAAGTGGGGTCTCTAAGAGATGATTAATGCTGTTATCATGGAAGTGGGTTCCTGATTAAAAGGATGAGTTTAGCCGTTCCCTCTCTGGCTCTCTCTTGCACTGCTTCTCTCCCTGTGATGCCTTCAGCCATGGATGACCCTCACCAGATACCGGTGCCATGCTCTTGGACTCCCCAGCCTCCAGAACTGTTGAGCCAAATAAACTTCTTTTTTTCTTTTTTTCTTTTTTTTTGAGACAGAGTCTTGCTCTGTTGCCCGGGCTAGAGTGCTGTGGCGTCAGCCTATCTCACAACAACCTCGAACTCCTGGGCTCAAGTGATCCTTCTGCCTCAGCCTCCTGAGTAGCTGGGACTACAGGCATTTGCCACCATGCCTGGCTAATTTTTTCTGTATATATTTTTAATTGTCTAGATAATTTCTTTCTATTTTTAGTAGAGACGGGGTCTTGCTCTTGTTCAGGCTGGTCTCGAACTCCTGACCTCAAGTGATCCTCCCGCCTCGGCCTCCTAGAGTTCTAGGATTGTAGGTGTGAGCCACCGCACCCAGCCAAATAAACTTCTTTTTATTATAAATTACTCAGTTTTGGGTATCCTGTTATAGCAGGAGAAAATAGACTAAGACTTTCTTTAAACATGTTTATAAATGATTTCATTTGATCTTTGATGAATATTGTTAAGATGTGTTCTATTATTTTCATAAGGCAAATGAAACTCAGTTAATTTTCCTTTTCTTATGGGTGAGGCTATATGTTGTTTTATAGACATTTGAACTTAGGAACTTAATAAAATAGTTCAGCAGTTTGTTTTCTACAATGTTAGTGAGAAATTTAAAGCATTTTCAGTCTTGAGTAGATCATGTTACATAATGACAGTGTTTTGAAAATGTGATATTAGAAATGAAAGATGAGAGTTAAGCATAGGAATATTTATGTATGGAGTTAGGGATGACAGATGACAGAAATTCCTGGAAAGGCAGCAGAAGATTAAACCTGGGAGAAATCTCAGAGTTAGTCAAAGTGCTTTTATGGTATTTATTATCACATTATGGATTCAGGTTCTATTGTTTAGTCCTTCAAAGATGGATTTATTTTCTTCTAGATACTGTGCCTTCAAATTATATAGCCGCCAGTAGCTACTGCTTGGTAGTCAGGTTCTTGCGTCCAGGGAAAAGAAACCAGCTCTGGAAGGATTTGTAATTAGTTTACAGAATCAATAGGAAGACTGGAAAACCAGGCTTAGAAAATGGCAGAGGCCAAGAGAGTGTAGGCAGCCAAGGATCCAGCCAAGGTCATGCTATGAGAATGGCTTGTTTAGATTGCTGGCCCAGAATACTCACCTTCACAGATGCTCCTTGACTTACAACAGGGTTACATCCTGATAAACTCATCATAAGTTGAAAATGCATTTAATACTGGGAATAGAGCAGACGGTCCTTGACTTAGTTTCCTCATCTCAGTATAATAGTACTGGCTTACATGGTTTTGTAAGGGTTTAATAAAATATTTGAAGTGTTCAGCATAGTTTCTGACATATAATTCATGCTTGATAAATGCTAGTTTGTGTACAGGTGTTTGTATATAGTCAGGATAGGCTGGAGGCTAAATTATCTTGCAGTAACAAATAACCTCAAAAATCTCAGTAGCTTAACACAACAAAAGTTTATTTCTTGCTAGCTGCATGTCTTACACACGTTGGCAAAGAAGTTTCTCCATGCAGTCATTCAGGGACCCAGGGTGATGGAGGTTCCATCCTCTTGTGGTCAACTCTGAAATATACGACAGCTTTAGTTACCATAGCAATGAAAAGAGACTAGAAAATCACACATGGACTTTTTACTGCCTTAGCCCATAATTGACGTACTTTATTTCTATTCAATTTATTGGCCATAATTAGTAACCACTTCCCTGCCTAACTACAAGTAAGCAGGTAAGTATGGAGTGCAGGACATTTGGTGAGTGCTCTCAGCTCTGTCATGATCCACTGTTGTTTTTCCCAGGATGGTACAATAGTGTACAAATAGTGCTGCAATTTTTCAATTTTTTAACTTAATATTATCATGGA